TTCCAAAATAAGAAACGGCACACCAAACGTTAACTTTTTTTGAATACAATCGACTACAATTAATCCGAAAATGAGGATTTTCCGAAGTCCAGTATTTTGAGAGCTAATTATTCCATTCGTGGAAAAAGTCGCCTCATCCGAAAAAATAATAGAGTGGGAAAAATTTCTGTTTTCGAGATGGTGCTCACCCACCCATAAACAAAATTCCAACCTTTTGGAATCATCCACATCTTCTAGTGTATGGAGAAACTTTGGTTTATAAGGATGTATTTTATTTTCTTTTTAACAATATTTGTAAACGAGACTTACTAACGTTTCCAATTTCTGAAGCTCTTTTTCTTAAAGATGTCTGGGGCATTTCTTATTGATTGCATCACTAATTCTACAACATTTTCTTCTTCGTTAACCGCTGTTATCCTTTTCTTTTTTAATACAGAACCAGTGTTTTAAAATTTTTCTACAATCCGCAGTCTTATCTGTGACTATTATGTCAGGCCATTTCTCATTAAATCGTCTTTAAACTGCCGCGAATGATATTTCTTCACCCAAACCATAGCACTGAACAATAAATACTTTTTGTTCAAGAGTGAGCCTTGTAATCTCAAATAAAACATTACCTAATTAATATAATCACGAAGTGACTTTGACAGAAGATAGTGAACATTATTTATTTGGTTGTTATAGCCACAGCATCCGTCATTTTAAACTCCTCTATTATAGCACGCACAATCAGGTGCCCTTAAAAATAAAATCAACAGAAATTAGTGAAACCTCAAATTTTTAATCCCCTGTGTATCCTAAATGACATCCCTGATAATATTTTTCGATATTGTCAAAAATAACGATACTTTACTCTTGGCGACTAACAATATTTTTCTAAATACTGAATACCGTGTATAAAAAATGACAAATATTTTAACAGTTTTGACCGTTTTGGAATAAGCAAGAGTTTTTACAAAGAGTGACTTTTTGTCGTAAACCCACAAATAAAAAACTTTTCCCTCTTCCGGACATTACAACGGGACACACTGTATATAAGGGTGCACTTACAAAACTTCATAATATCGATCACGTAGGCTTTAATGTTATTGTTTGAAAACAATTTAATTTGTTTTTCTTGAAGGATATAGAGTCAGCAGAAATTTCAATAAAATTGAATCACATCGTATTTTGCAATACTTGCCTTATAGAATTTGAATTTCTCGAAAATGGTTCTAGTTATTAAAAATAAACAAGAGTATATTTTTTCTTTAATACTGTGTAGACCAAAATTGTTTAAGGACTAAAAAAAAATAAAGTAAAAATAAAAGACTAAATTTGCTCTTATATGTAGAATTTGAATCGTACCATCTAAATTTCCCTAAGTTTAAGTTTAAAGTATGAATAAGATATCTAGACAAACTTTTAACATATCACAAAAAATTAAGGTTGTTTTTCTTGAAGGAAAAAGACCCAGTAAATATTTCAATGAAAATTGAAATATATCGTATAGTTGATTTATAGAAAATGGTTTGAAATTTATGTCTAAGTATATGCATGGAAATTATTTCAAATTCTTCATAAAAGATAACCAATGACGGAAATTACTATTGCTAATTCTAAATTTCATGCCTGTTATACAAAGTAATCATAAAATGTGAAAAATTAAAAACACATTAAAATTTCAGCACACAAATTTCACTCACTGTGTTACTGTAAATTCTTTTTTGGAATTTTTGATTTTTCAGAAAATTTCATTCATAATAAAAGATACCCAACGCATGACGAAAATTACTTTTTGTAATGCAGTTTTGTGTATAGACACTATAAGTGACAGTGAAATATGAAAAATTAAGTAAAACATTTCAAATTAGAATTTATCTGAATTTCTTTCTAACGAGACTTGCTGTGTAATTTTGTAACTGTATTGAACTGAAAAATTAAAATTTATTGTGTAAAAATTTTATATAACTTATTACCAAAAAAAATTCTCTGATAAATTCCAATTTGTAATATGTTGTTTTATTTAATTTTTCATATTTTATGGTCACTTGCAGTGTATAAACATAAAACTTGTATTACTAAAAGTAATAATTAGGTATTTTTTGCTAAGGATGAATTTTTTTGAAAATCAAAATTGCGAAAAAGAATTGACAGTAACAGGAAAGTGCTACTTCCACCTACTAAAAAAAAACTGTTGCTATACTAGTAAAATATTTTACTTTCTACTAGCAAGGACTTTCTTGTTACAGCAAAAGTATCTTCCTACAAGAGTAAATTAAGTTCTAGAAATGAAATAGACATATTTTGCTGATATAAGCTCTTTACAGCCACAAGAAAGTTCTTTCCTGTGGGAGCAAAGTTGCAGACATATGATAGTAAAGAGGTTTTTATAAAGTAATTCTGCTACTGCAAGTAAGGTTAGAGTAGTAAAGTGAGTATAATAGTAAACAACTTGGCTGGCGCCTATTTTGCCAAATTGTTTGGCTGTTATAACAGTTATAAACTGGCTATGGCTATGAAAAAAGATTCTCAGTGCAGCAGATATTGGAAAATTTATTACGGGCTCGCACTTGTAAACTTGAAAACGATTTGAGTTATCAAAATTAAACAGAAGTATCTTTATTTGTTTAATAACCTGTAGCCCATTTTTTTAAGAATTAAGAAAATAAAGTAAAAATAAAAACTAAAACTTATGTAACTGGATTCTTTTCTCAAAAATAGTTGAAAGGAAGCTTCAAGATATTTGAGTATTAAAATACTGATTTTATGAATATTATTAGTTTTTTCTTAGTTTTTAGAATGTATTCACAGCGTGACTAATTATAATTGTTTTACTAATGATTCGATTCGAACAGTTTAACTGTGAATTAATATAATAACATAAAGAACTGTACTATGGATCCTAATGAATGACTCTTACATAACTCACATTTATCTAATATTTTTATTGACAAAAAAATGGGAGAAAGATAGAGATTTTTTTATAAAAAAAAGTTGCTCAACGAAAGATATTCATTCAATGAAAAGGTTTTTGGAAAACGGTAGAAGACCAAAAATTCAAATGACAATTTATAGGATTTAATATTAAATTGTTCTGTCTTTACTTTATTTTTATGAACATATCTGTAGCTAAAGTATGCAAAGCATGCTAAATACAACAGTATAGAAATATATTTTTCATAAAAATGTTAAAATATATTATAATACATCTAAACGTGCTGTTCTTCGTTTAAAAGTAACATTTGGAATTCAAACAAGAGCAACTCTAATATTTTTATTAATGATTTAATATCCTCTTTAGTTAATGTAGAGTACAAAATACTTTGTTCTAGAACAAATTACTAAGACACTATTTAATGAAGATGATTTAGAAACACTACTTCTTGTAAATATTTATTTGTGGTATTTTTATAACTTTTTTATTTAAGTAAATATTTCTATGAGAGAAATATAAATTTTAAATAAATAGCTCCTTATGCCAAAAGAACCAGTTAGTGGCTGATTTTAAAATTTAATTTCTTGTAAATTCAGAATCTTTTATTATTTTAGTACAATCGCCAATAGAATATTCCTAAGAGCAAACTAGACAAGCACCAGGTCTATCTGTCTACTCTCTTTGCTCTAAAATATTACACTTATAATTCTAATAAACATATGTTATTAAACCTTATATATTTTCAATTTTAAAAGCATTATATTTTATCCTATTCTATTTATATAAAATAATAAGTTTAGTTTGTCACTCTTTTTAAAAACGCATGTACAAAACTCAATATCATTCTTAAAAACTTGCGGTTGATAGCACTAAAAAGATGGTATGTTCCACGGAAAAGACCTACTGCCAAAAAACACCCCTGAAACCTACCTGAAGCTTTCAGCCTCGTGCGAACTTTATATAATTAGCTATAATTCTACATTCGGCCGATTCAAGTCACATACCCACACTACGAATTTATAGCCGAAGAGACAGCAAGACTGACACGAGCTTGTTCAATAGGTCATCAAACGAAATTTCTAACCCACAAATACTATGGGCTATCGACTCACTGAATTCCATAAGAACATCCTGGATATACGAAGACAAAATAACCCCTGCAATTTGCAGTTCTTGACACTAGTAACCTCTTACTCCCAAAAACATTTACAGTTTTACAGTTGTCATGTTTTCTTTTGGATAAGGCCCTGGAAATGAGTCCATCTGCAATTATGTTATACCTGAAATCTCTGAAAGCAGTTGTGAGTGAGTTGAGAAAATCGACTACACGTAGGGGTTGTAGTCAATTAATGTAATGGTTTTTCGTAACTCTTTATCCTTTGGTGTGTCTCTCTTTAATCTTCCAGCGATCTATATAGAAGATTTCTTGTTTTACCTTTTATGCATATATCCCTTTTTACTACCCTAATAGAAGATAAATGGGATGAAATTATGTGGGCAAAATACTGTTGGATGTTAAATTTTCTCAACTCATTCACAATTACCATCGGTGATTTTAGATATACCAGAATTATTGCAGACGGATTTCTTTGCAGAGTTGAAGAGAAACCCATTAAATGTAAAGTTGTAGTAGGTTATGGTCTTTCTGTAAGTATAGGGTGTTTCTGGTATCCATTAAGATCTGCAGGTTACAGGACTGACTTTGGTGATGGTCTGGTGGATAAGCTCACATCACTCACTTCACTCATGTTTAAGGTTCGAACATTTGACTTGAATCCGTCGATTGTAGAACTTGGCTAACTTAGCTGTAGATGAGCCTACGAATATGATGCATCGACTTGTTTCCAGGGAAACTGAATGTAAATTCTGGCTGCTTTTTAAGTTTCAATGGTAGTTTTTAGAAATAAATAAACTGGAGGTTTCTTGGGTCAAAATACATAGAATGGTATGGTCTCATCTGTGGAATAAACCACTTGTTTTAAGTGTGCCTGTGTTATTGAAAAAAAAACTGACACTTATTGACCGTTCTGATATGTTTAAAACCCCAAATAACCCAGTTATTAATACAAATTTCAATTTCCAGACCCAAAATGGCGGAGTACTTGGAGTTCGAGTGGAGGACCAACGTTATATCGAACAATATAGTCAAAGGCGTTCACCCCTTGTGCAACGAGCCGAAAGGCAGAACAGCCGCCATAGCAGCCTTGAAGAACCTCATCCACAGCTGCAACGACTACGAGCTGAGGACCAACCTCCCCCAAGACGACAAAACGTTACAGAAGTTCCTGTACGCGAGGAAACTAAACGTCACAGAAAGCTTCGAACTTTTAAAGAACTACTACTTTTACCGAAAAAGGAACCCGGACATATTCAAGAACCTCACCTTGGAAGCAGAAGACATCTACAAGGCGCTGGAGAACGGCTTGCCAGGTGTCCTCAGTCAGAAAGACAGAAAAGGCAGATGTGTGCTAATGCTAACAGCCACTAACTGGGACTTCAGTTACCCCTTGTCTAGTATATACCGCGCATTATTATATAGTCTAGAATACCTCACTAACGACATACACAACCAAAATAACGGTTTCGTTGTTATAGTAGACTGGACTGAGTTTCCTTTTAGGCGAACCACAAATTTAAAGCCCTCCGTGTTGAGGTTAATGATAGAGGGATTGCAAGACTGTTTCCCGGCTAGGTTTAAGGGGATTCACTTCATAGAGCAGCCTTGGTATGTAGAAGCAGCCCTTGCTATAATAAAGCCAACTTTAAATGACAAAATCAAAGAGAGGATATACGTTCATGGGAATAACTTGAGCACTTTGCACGAGCTTGTTCATAAGGATATTTTACCTGCTGAAATGGGAGGTGAACAACCTTCCTATAATCCTAGATCGTTCTTGAATACTTTGGAAGCCAAGCAATAAAAATATTGTTTGTTATTTTTGTACTTCTCTACGCTTTTTGTTAGAATGTCTTAAAATGATTTATTTTTCTGATGTTTCTGGAATTAATTTAATATGTTCGTTTGTTTATATATGAAGACTGCTAGTAAACTGATATTTTAAGATTCAAATTTAAAATACTAACTTATCAGGAACAGAGTTGAAATTAAAAAAAAATCTGTTTACGAAATATACATATTTATTAAAAATTATGCCTGTAGTTGGTTTTATCCGTTTTAATTTTTTTTCCTTTAATGTATTACAAATTTATTCAGTATTTTAGTTTTGCAAATATCCTGATAGTAAGGTTTGTAATCTCTAGAAATTTAAAAAATCTTAAAGTATTGAAATTGGTTTTCTGAAATAATATAACATATGAGATCAGTTTGGGCAGGGAATTATATGATTTTGTTGCAATATTAAGGTCATTACTAGTGTTTAAATTACACCTTAGTGGCTTCCGAATTATCGTCAATTTTTACATTCCTTAACACACCAGAGATATATTGAATGGATTGGAAATTGTATTACTATCTTCTGTAGTATAGATTGAATTTAAAAGTGTATCAAAATTTGCATGTACTTAACGAATTTACCACAATTCAGTTTATTCCATGAAAATTACAAAAAGGATAATATTTTATGGTATGAAATACGTCCTGTGAAGGAATAGAGCGTTTAGCAATTAGTTGAGAAAAAAATATTTTTATCAACAGGTTATCGTAACAGTCAATCATTTATTTGTCGAAGCCTATGCAGTGAATAAAAAAATGCTGATACGTCTAACTATGGCAACTAAACTTAACTATAATACTGAATTTTACATGTGTTTATAATTGCTCTATTTACTTTAAGTATTATCCACTGTAAAATTGTAATATAATTTCCAATGGATTATTTAATATGGAATATTTATGGATTTCACACATACGAGTATGTAAGTTTTTTGTGAAGCTGGAGTCAGTTGTTTTTGCATCTTCATTATTATGTTTCATTCCACCACCTACTGTTTTTGCAGAAACTAGATTTTAAATCAGCCTTTTACCTTCGTGCGATAATTGTTAGTCGAGGATGATTTAGATTATTTCAGTAGTTTTAAGCTTTGTACATCCTGAAAAATAATATTTATTTCATTGTAAGTATAGAATACACATTAAAAAGTTTAACTTACAATTAGTGTAAAAGTTCGACAAATATATTTAGAACATTTAAGACTGGACAAACTGTATTACTAGTGTGGTCAAATTGTTTAGTTTAACGTCTTCCAAAATGAGCAAATCATAAAATATAAAAAATGGATAACTGGATAAGAAGTGCTTTGTTCCACAACTAACCTGTATTGTTAGTTGCATGAATCAATGAAGAGTTTTTAGACATTTAAGGAAGTTAATCAACTGTCAATAATTGTGGTTGTCATACTAAAACTTCTTACAGGATTTTGATATTGTTTTGTGTGATTCACTCGTTTTAAACTGAAGAAACATTCAATGCTCAATCCTTTAAGCGAAATAAAAGATGTTCGAAAATGGCTAAATAAGAAGTACCTTTCGGTAAACGAAAAATATGCACATAACCACAAATATATTTTTTCTAAATGATATAGCTAATAAATGCAATATATTTTGTGAGAAGATTTTTGGAATATACTTGCAGTACATTCCTTATTTGCTGAGTGAATATATTTCGTTTGATATAATACCTTTCTAATGAACACTATTTTACAGCACAATTGTAATAAATTGAAAAGTTTAAGAAAAATGTTCATTCTTATATGTAAATATTAGAATCAAACAAAGATCTTAAAATGACAATATTCGAAACTGTGATTTTTTAATATAGTGACATGTCTCATACTGTAATATGTATAATTATATTTATATGAGCTATTTATGTATCCTTCCAATAAAATATAGTGATAATATAAGAATTGTTTTGTTTTTTTATTTACTTTCCTGCGCAAATTCACAAGAGCTACCTCTTACCATTGAATTTATTCGGTTTATTTGAATAAAAAATGCAATTTCTCCTTTTGGGCAGGCCACCAATTTTTTGAGTGAATTTTGGCTTATCTAAACTCCTTTAGACATATAGGTATTGTGCAATAGCGTGCTACAAATTTTCAGGACTGATTTCTCTCGCCAAAGAAAGAAGGGGTAAAGATTTTTCCTAAAATGTTTCATAAGAATTGTATGATCCTTTAAAAATTGGACATCAAACTCAGTTTTTGATCAAGAACATCTAAAGATATAGGTTTCAACCTTGGTACAGATTAGTTTTTTTCACAATGTACAATCAAAATTAGGAGTCTGAGGGGTTTCAACTGTCAAAATGAATCATTTGATATTCGAGAAGTGGAAGCAAACTTTTTTTCTTTGAATTCACAGTTAAAAATCTAAAAACTACGATAAACCTAGGCGTATTTTTAACAGCATCTTGTATAATCTTGTATGAATAAGTTTAACATTTGATTAATTATGTTGAGAAATTAGATCAAAATAATTACCTTGTATCATTGAGTTCCATCTGAAGAACATCTAATAGACTCGAAACGACATTTTACTGCGTTTTGATGTGACTGTCATTGTTTACAAATGTGCCAATTACAGAAGCTTTTGAGGAACTTCTTCAAGGGATCATGGAAGAACTTAGAAGGCTTAATAAAAGTGTACAAGAGGTAAACCTTCTCCTCCATTAGAAATCAGTTTTATGAATAAACTGAGAAGCATTGCCACCACCATAGGGTTAGAAACCAAGTTTTTCCAATTATATTCCAAAATAATGAAATTTAGCTAATGATTTCTAAATTTTAATCGGAGCTTGTAGATAAATAATGCTCCAAATGCCAATGTCCAAAGTTATACTGTTTTTCTAGGTTTCTGGAATCTTATCGATTTCTGTGTTTTTCTCACTGCGTTATAATGGTACTAACATCCTAATTTATGTTATGCAATATCTTCAATAAATTTCCAACGCAAACCCTAGAGGTGACATTGAATATGTTAATTATAGGGCATATTGTTCAATAAATGATAAACATTTAACATCTTAACAAAACCAATATAAAAACAAAAACTGAACAAACGGAAGATGAAAAATATAAAATAATAGTGTTATGTACACTATTATTCACAGGAACAGATACTCTTGACATGTAGGTACCTATAACGGGCGAGTCAAGTTTTTGCTGTTAGACTCTAATTGATAGAAAACTTAATTTTAAGAAATAAAAATTTATATGAACATACGTCACAAAAAGCTTCCTTTTCGAGGTACCTACCTATAGAATGTCAAATTTAAAATAAAATCTTAAATATCTCAATATCTCTATGCCTTAATGGAACGCATTTATCCAGTTTCCTAAATACTATCTACTAGCTATTGCTATTATAAATCAATGCTAGTTGGAGTATGTAGCCCGTAGAGTATTTGTTTCCCCACAATATCAAAATTAGTTAAGAATCTTGTCTGTGAGATTAGCTATTCTTTTGCATAGGTACCTAGATTACTGGTATCGAAAAACATTGTTTAACTTCATTTGATAGGATTTAGCAAAAACAAAATTGAATTTGTTTGAATTCGTTTAATTCCTTAAAAATAAAGTAAAAGTACAAAATCTTTCTTTACCAAATATTTAGCAGATACTCATGATTCGATGGACTGGATTAAAAGAAGATGTAGATTTAATAATTTTTGGTATATGTATAGGCCATCCCGAAAGTAGTCTATAATTTTTACTAGCTCATTAACGTTATGGAATACAGCATACGGGCTGAATATGAATCCGGAAAATTATTTTTTCATGTATTAAAAACCGTTAAAACAGTTAAATTTGAAACTGGATCTTACTGGTAGGTTTTGAATTTAATGGTATATTCTGAAATTTCATCACTAGAAAAGTTATGATTAAATTTCAGTATAACTTTTTGCATGTGAAGATTTCCACTGTTTTATTGAAATTTGAAATTTCAGGCAATCATTTAATTGAAAATTATGTTACAGATCACAATAACAGTTATTTAAACAATAAAGGACTGGCAAATTATACTTAACTGCTGCGTGGTGTATAACATTTTATCTGCTCCCACGGTTCTTTATGGTTCATGAAATAAATATTAGGTTTTATTTCTTGACATTTCTTAGTTAATTCATTTTGACATTATTCGAAATCTTGCAAAGTCGCCTTGGTTGTTTGGATTTTGTCGCTTCTAATTGTAAGGTGTTTATAAACAAAGCTACATAAAAGTTGCAGGTTTTGCTGGTTTTGAATTATTATTTCTAAATCAGCGATTTTCAAATAGAAAGTGCAGCAAATGCTGCCTGCGAATTTTTATTGCCCGAGAAGTCGAAAGTGCGCTACGGACGAACATATAAAAATTTTAAAGAATGGTGCCAGAACAAAAATACTAGTGTTTCTGAAATGTCTCTAATAACATATTTCATGGAAAAGTCAAGAACTTTAAAGTCTCCGGCGAGTTTGTGGAGTGAATACTCAATGATTAAGTCAACTATTTTCATAGAGGAGAACGTGGATATATTAAAGTACCCCAGGCTGAGAGCATTTTTGAAACGTAAAAATGACGGCTATACACCTAAAAAGTTAAATGTTTTTACAAAAGAACAAGTTAACGAGTTTCTCGTTCAGGCACCCGTTCATGCAGGAGCATGCCATTCTGATGAGTTATGCAAACTTACTTTGGACGTCAATTTCAAAAATTTCGATATTATTGTAGTTACAATTCCAGATTCTAAAAATTGTATGACACGTACGTTTACAATTCCTTCTCATCTGGGTTCCGTTTCTCACCTAGAAATTCGCAAGAAACATATCAAGATTAGATTGGAAATTAAAACTGAAATTTCACGCTTTTTTATGTGCTATCAAGCAGGTAGATGTTACAACCAACCAGTCGGCAAGAATTCCTTTTCTATGATTCGTAATAAGATTGCACAGTTTTTGAAACTAGAACATCCTGAAACATATACAAGTCATTCATTCCGAAAAACATCGGCAACGTTACTGGTTAATACAGGAGTTGATGTATTAGCAATCAAGGAGACATGGTAGGTGGAAACAAGCCACAATTGCAGAAAGTTATGTTGCTAACAGTTTAAATAATAAAAATGAAATAGCCAACAGAATTCTTTACAATGACACTTCAACGCCAGATTCTAGTAGTACGACGCATCATGCTGTTTTAA